CCCAAAACTGGATGCAATACTCCAGATGTGGCCTCACCAGTGCCGAATAGAGGGGAATAATCACTTCTCTCGATCTGCTGGCAATGCTCCTACTAATGCAGCCCAATATGCTGTTAGCCTTCTTGGCAACAAGGAAGGGCACACTGTTGACTCATATCCAGATTCCCGTCCACTGCAATCCCCAGGTCCTTTTCTGCAGAATATTAGCAATAGTAATCCTTCCTCATATCATGCCATGTGTCATCCTGAATGGTTTGTTTGTTAAGAAGCACCAAACATAAATAAAACACTTTAAAAAGAAATCCTGAAGCATATAATGCAATGACAATAAGTTAATGAGAGTGAAATGAACAAGTGGGGAGGTTAGGCAAAGAGGTTAGGCACTGAATCTTGTCAGAAAGAGATTCAAAATCTTTGACTAAGAAAAAGAGGGCACAAACATACAAAAAACTAAAAGTATTCAAAATTTTGAGATGACACTACTGTTTGGTTTGAAAGAACAAAGAACTTAGAAACAATGGTCAAAGAGCTGAATGCAAGTAATATGTTAAGAATGTAAAGTATCAGTGCCAAGAATTCTGTTTGATTGCAGGCCAAAAGTACGCTAACTCCCAAGTGAAAACAGTTTTCTGAAATGAGCCCTCATATCTATTTGTGTCAAACTAACACTTGTTAGAGGAAATAGGTTTAGGTCAATTTTGTATTCAGTTGAAATGCAAAGATAATACAAAAACATAACTTATTATACAAATATATAGATCTAAAGACAATATAAATGCATGCTTTGGTGCAAAGTGCTACCTGGTACCCCAGTGAACAAATGGTTATCTCCATTGAAGCTATAAAGCCAGATTCTCTCTTGTGACTGAGCTCTGCTGACTGAAGTGAAATGGGTGTGAGGGAGCTGGTTTTGGCTTTCTGATCCTCAGACTGCTGAGGCCAGCACCACTATCTTAATGCCAGCAGTGGGTTGCCTTATGCCAGGGGAATGCCCCACTGACCACCTATGGCCAGAATCTGGTTGGTAGGTTTGCTCTAGGTCCCAACTGAAAATCTGGCCAACCAGTCAGCAAGGACTGTTCCAGTGTTAGTGGTTACTGGAGAAAGGAAACAAAATCTCTCTGGCCTGTGGTTCAATACAAACCTAAGACCACCTTTCCTAAAGCAATTTTCCTCCTTAAGCCTCCTCTATCAAGCAGACACTCTGAGGCCTTTGGACACTATCAGAATATATTTATTACTAATAGTATGCATTTGTTTATGGGAAGAGAAAACGGGGGGGTCGAGTTATCCTTTTCTTACTGGGGGGTCGAGTTATCCTTTTCTTCCTGGGGGCCAAGTAGCACAATGCACTTTGTGACAAAGTCTTGAAGTAGCAAAATGATAGGCTTAAAAAATATATAAAAATGAAATCTGATCTTGTCTAATTATTTCTCAAGCTGTGTGTACATATTTAACTGGTTTAATTATCTTTTCTCTTCTTCTGTAGAGTTGGGAATTCTTTGAAAAGCAGAATTCCTTGCACTTTTTAGACTGACAGCCTGATTTTCAATGGTGCAGAGCACCTGAAGCTTTCATTCACTTCAGTGGAAGCTGGTGTTGCTCAGCATCTCTGAAAATCAGATCCTAGATTGGCCAAGTTAATTTGGCTCAGCAGGTTTATTATTAGGCATATATCATTTGAAAGTATTTATGAATAAATTTTGTGCTTGTGGATGTAAAGGGCTAACAACTGGCAGGAGCAATGCAAGTGTCTCCATACAGCTATGCCAATTTTGCATATTGCCATTTTTGTGAAACTTCTTTGCCATGCTGATCCTGGGCCTCTCATGACAACTAATAGGGTGAGGATTCAAGCCATAATCTTACAAAGTGCTGTGCAGCTTCAACTCTCTTAAAGCCAGTGGGTGTTGAGGTTGCTTAGTGCACCCAGGTGATGCTCAGTACTTATTAGGTTCTGGCCCAGTAAGAGCCTTCAAACTGACTTTTCACTTGTCAGTAACCAATGGTTGTATTTTAACTCAGTTTTTCACCAGCTGAACTCATTCATTAGCCCACCTAGCCCTTCTGGAGTTGTTTTGTTTTATCTCAAACATGAACACATTGGTCCAAATCCTGGTCCCATGGAAGTCAAAGGGAGTCTTGCCACTGACTCTAATAGGACCAGGTGTCCTGTGGGTTTGTGTCAAAATTGATTCCAGTTACAGGGCATGTAATAAGATATTCCAGCAGACACTCGGGACAACTACACATGGTGACCTACTTTACAGAACCAGTTTGACAACTATTACACATTGGAACATGTCATCAAAGCAGGGTGTAACTTACATTAATGAAAAATACAGCAAACACATTTAGTAATGTATCTGATCTGCTTGAGAGGTTTTGGAATGATCTTCAGTACCTGCCAGAAGAAAATTTTTGATGTAGAGAGTAAGATCTGTTTACTGTGCATAGATTTGCACATACAAAGGGCCTGGTCCTAGAGGTGCTGGGCAACCACAACTCCAATTGGAGTAAATGAGATATGTGAGTGCTCAGTCCTTGGGCCCTACACTACATGATTATAAAAAGACTAAAGAAGTCATTCCGAAAGTCTAATGTATTTTCTGAGTAATATCTAGAAATATGTAGAGTGGCCTCTTATAACATCAAATTTTTCTATTTATGTTTTTGTTACAGTATTATATGAAGTCTTATTTTTCCTCAGATATTTAACAAATGTCAGATATGTTTCATGAACTACAAAATATAGCAACAACCCCCATACATTTTACCAATTGCATCTCAAAACAGGTTAGCAGGAAAACTCTTTTCTGCTTTGGATGCTAGTTCAGCAAGGAGTTTAAGCACATATCTAACTTTAAGCATGTGACTAGTTCCATTGACTTCATTGGGACTGCTTACATGTCTGAATTAAGCATGTGCTTAAATTCCTTGCTAAACTGAGATCTGAGACAGTGTAAGTAATTATAAATTGAACTATAATGTCAAATAAAACCTACCCCAATGAGATACCCTTTTGTATTACTTTGACAATACATGTTTAATACCTTGTCTCCTACTCTGCTATGGATTATGAACTATAGAAGTGTTGTCCATGTTGCATATATAATGTACATGCCTATCACGTAACATAAACCAGACTTAAAAATTAAATTATATTTTAAAAAATAAATATTTCAACAAAACAGAATACAAAGAAGTTAGAACAGGTACAGTAGAGTATCATTAGAAAATCACTTGAAAATGAATGGATCTCACTTGTCCCAGAACAGTATCAAATGTATGAACATATATATTTTTTAAAATTTTGTGAATGTGACTATTGTGGTGACTAAATTTTTCCGTAGGTATGTATTGTGCACATTGTAGGGGCAGCAGCAAAGCTAACTACCCCATAAAACCTCACAATCCTGAAATGAAGAGGGGATAATATATTTCAGTCACCATGCCCATTTGCTCCTTCCACCTCTTTGGTGATGCTGCCTATGGTAATCAGCTGCTTTCTACCAACAACTCATTTCTCTTAGGTCAATGAACTGTCATTCTGAGGTAACAACTTCCAGTCACTACAGACTTGGACTCAATTCAAACTGGCAACCTATAGTTGAAAGGTACCTGCCCCATTACAGAGTCACTGGGCTATACAGCTGACCTTGATATAAGTGTTTATTTTGCCAGTAACTGTTTCTATGACTGGAATGGAAATCTGACTACTGAAATGAATTGCCTTGCAAAACAGCATTTAAGCAGTAGTAGTTGCTACAGTCACAATGAATTCTAGTGAGTTCTTCAGTACCATGTACGGTGTTAGTAATAGTATCTCTGTTAGCATGAATATGCTCTTCTTGATCCCTGGGAGGATTTTCATAGTCTGAAATAGCATTTTGCCCCAAAGGTACTTCTGTTCTTGCAAACAAGCTGAAGTAATTTGGAAATCATTCCAAAATAAATGCTCAGGATTAATCTACATCTTCAATCTCTGTTATTTGTATTTAAGCATTACACAATATTTATAAAGCACAGTGAAGTCATATCTAGCTGATCTTTATCTGGATTAAATATCTGTTTTTATACAGAACCAAAAAATAATTACCCATTACATGTGGCAGGTATCTTGGAGTTTCACCTACTTTCTCGTTTCAATTACAGGCAGCTCCTGGGTGGTGAGACTGGACTTCTCCAGGTGTGCGTCAAAGACTCAAGTGAGGCTTGACTGAACAAAGAGGAAAAGTTTGTAGAAGGAAATAAGAATTAAAGTAGTTGATGCATGTGTTGGAATTGATCACTTAAGCTTCACAAATGTGAAATGGCCTTATGTAGCCGTTCACTAGTCGTGAGCAGTGTGTAGCAGTTGCTTCTTAGTGTAAAATAGAATGGGGATAATGATGTAATTTTGCCATGCTGGTGAAGCATATCTCATGCCTTGTCTACAATAAAAGGGGTATGTTGGTTTATACCCCAAACAAAATAAGCTATACCAGCAAAAGGACTTTTTTGCCTGTATAACTGTATCTGCAGTAGAGCTTTTGCTGGCATATACATGTTGGTTAGGAGTATGATTTTTTTTTATATTCCTAACCAACATAGCTATGATGGTAATCTTTTAAGTATAGATCAAACCTCACTCAAAGCAACAATATTTGACTTTCTTTTCATAGGAACAATAGCAGCTTTGGTTTCTGTTCAGAGGAACTATGGTCTTGATCCTCCAAGATGCTGATTTGATAGTAGCCATTGTGGCTGTCACTGGGGATTGAATCTAGCACCTCTGGAGCTAAAAACACCAGTCTCCACAGCTTGAGTCACAGAGGTAGGTGTTTTACGGGGGGCTGTACCTGATATATTTTCTGTGGATCACACATATGTTAAGAAGGATGCATCATGCACACTGACCAGTGGGTTACACTGAGCACTCTATCCCTACTCTACAACTTAAGCACATTCTTAAATTTGAAGTACATGAGTAGCCCCAATGTCTACTTAAAATTAAGCACATGCTTACTTGCTTTGCTAGATCACAATAAGCATTCTCAGCACTTTACTAGTTTAAATCCTATAGGATTCTCACATGTAAATAAAACTAAGCATATGCTTAAGCACTTGTGGAATCACAGCCTGTTAGTGTAAATTCAGTTTAACTCTTCTTCTTTTGTATTGCTGGTGCAGCGCAGGAATTTTAGGATTTGTTGAGTTGCTGCTCTGATGACTGGGAAATCACTGAGCGATGTTCGGTCGCCAAGTTGATGGCATTCGTCATGAATTATCACTTAAAGTGGACTGCGTGAAAGCTGCCATCTTCCACTCCAGTTTTACTCCAAACAACCCAAACAGTTAGTCCAAAATACCTCAGTATGAGATTGTATCTGATTTCTATTTATGTTCTCTGTGCATTGCACAAATACAGTACATTGCTACCACAGTTTTTGCAATCTTTTAAAAGCCTACATTAAAATATCTTCACAACTCAATGAGTTAATATCACCAATACTACATATATAATTATTTTTCTTTTGCCCGTTTATGTCCCAAACTTAATGATCTTTTACATTTGTTTGTTTGTTACAGTGATCCCACCTAGCCAAGTGAATTATTCCACCTTCTCCTTCCATGTATTTGAACAGGAGCTGGCAGCAGTTCCACTTTTTGCTAATTTTTACCATCTAACAAAGTTTGTGATAAGTTTTAACTTACTATATTACACCATATTGCTACTTTGCAATTTCAAACTTTGACATTTGAACTGTATCAAAAGCTTTTCCAAAAAAAATCCTAGAGGTGAGATATTTCACTGCCAGCAGATTTTTTTTTTAATTGAATTAAAGTATGCTGTGTTTCTGAGCTTGAAAGTAAAAAAGTATCTAGAACTGGTGCCAAATTATATTTGAAATTCTAGAAATTTGAGGCATTGTGCATAAAAAGTTTCTCAATTTCCCTAGTCAGCAACATTACCTTTTCAAGAGTTCACTTCATAAGAAATTGATGGGAGCTCTGAAAATTGGACTATGCACTAGCAAGTCAATCTGATGTCTAAAATTATTTTTATGCTAAATACTCAGCATATTTAAGCAGACAAAAGCATATGCAACCTTTTGACAAGGGTGAAATGCATCCATATTTGGAGAAACCCATATAGCAGCCAAGAAACAAGTTTCAACTTGTGGGATTCCTTCTAGTCTTTTTTGGGGAACAGAGTTGCCCCAGGTTATCTCCTGCAGAATAGGCAGCGTGGGCCACTGGATAGGGTACAAACCTAACAGTCAGGAGACCTGTGTTCTATTTCTGACTCTGCTAGTGACTTGATGTGTGACTTTGGCCAAGTTACTTTACTTCTCTATGCCCATTTCCCTTCCCATCCTTAGTCTGTTGTCTATTTAGATTGTAAACCCTTCAGGTTTACACAACACAAACACTGTGTGTTTATGCAGCACCTAGCACTACAAGGACCCAATCTCATTTGGGGTTTCTAGACACTATTATAATATAAATGAATACTAATAATCTCCTTAACCTTGTGGATGTCCCAAGATCTAATACCCACAAAGGGAAAGAGTATATGTATGAAGGCCTAGTAATCAGTGGAGTTGCATGGGGTGCAGGTCAACGCAAAATCTGACCTATTACATTTTTCCAGCCAAGGAAAAATATGTGTTAGAATCATCATTGAGACTGACCCAGAAACTTTCATATAAACTCAACATGAACAAATACCCAGAGAATCAATACATTTTAAAGGAAGGTGTTCATTGTTGATTCCACTACACTTCCTTAGAAAAGTGAGGACTGGGTTAGCAGGAAAGCAAAAAGGACAAAGGACTAATTCTTCTTTCACATTGGTGTAAATCAGGAGTAATTCATTGATGTCAATGATCTGTCACTGAAAATCGGGCCCTAAGAGACATTTTACCTTGAATTACGCTTGAGCAACTCCAGTGATGGCAGTGCAATGTACAATCAGTATAACTGAAGGCAGAATCTAAACCAAAAAATGGGGAACTGTTTACTTTTAAGCATACAGGGCTTGAATTTCCTTTCCTATATCTTTAATCAGGGGTAACTCTATCAAAGTCACTGGAGATAACTAGTGTAAGTGAAAGGAAAATCAGGCCCATAAAGGCAAGACAAAGATTACCTCTTCATTTTTGAAGCTCCATCTGCAACTTTCCTGCACATGGATTATTTTAACTATAACTATGTGTTCTGTTACTGATGTTGGTTCTTCTTGCAATGGTAAATGACATCTTACTCACAAAGAACCACTTTTTCCTTATTTCTTTTTAAGCAGCGCATATAATTCGTGCCTTTTCTCTTTAAAGTATTACTATACATATAATACTTTCTTTCCTTGTGCAGTAATCAACAGCTACACATTCATACCCAAATACTATTTGAGGGAGGGTCCAGGTCTTAAAAATCACACACATTCAACAATATTTGATATAATCCCAGACAAAAGATTCTTTCTTGTTCATGACTTTTTAAAAATCATTCAGCTAAATAAAACCTTTCACTTCACCACAGAACATCTTTGTACATGCTGCCTACATAAGTGAGCTGATGATAACCTAAGGCCTGGTCTATACAAGAAAATTAGGTTGGTTTCACTACGTAGATCAAGGATGTGAAAAAGCCACACCCCTGAGCAGCATAATTAAACCAACCTATGTCTCCATGTAGACAGCTCAGGGACAACAAACAAAATTCTTCCATCAGCCTAGTTACTGTCTCTCGGGGAGGTGGATTACCTACACTGATGGGAGAACACTTCCCATCAGCCTTGGTAGTGTCACTGAAGCACTATAGTGGCGCAGCTGTGCCACTGTAACATTGTAAGTGTAGACAAGCAGTTTGTTTATGTAATGCTCCTTTTCTTTATAATTTCTTCGTAAGCTCTGATAAATGAGCTGAGTCGGGGGCCGCACCATGCGGCTTGGCCCAGCTCTGGGGCTCTGGCCAGGGCACTGGGTCGGGCGCCATACCACGCGGCTCGGCCCTGCTCCGGCCGGGGCACCCCTGAGCCTCTCCCCGTGCCCCAACCCCTTGATCCCAGCCCGGAGCACCCTCCTGCATCCCAAACCTCTCATCCCCATCCCCACCCCAGAGCCCACACTCCCAGCCGGAACCTGCACCCCTTCCCGCACCCCTGCCCCAGCCCTGATCCCCCTCCGGTACTCCGAACCCCTTGGTGCCAGCCCAGAGCACCATCCTACACCCCAAACTCCTCCTTCCCAGCCCCACTCCAGAGCCCGCACCCCCTCCCGCACCCCAACCCCAATTTTGTGAGCATTCATGGTCCGCCATACAATTTCTATTCCCTCTGTGGCCCTCGGGCCAAAATGTTTGCCCAGCCCTGCTCTATCGGGTCCTGATCCTTAAAGAAATATTTCCTGACCCCCACTTCTGGCCCTCAACCAACCCCCCCAAGCTCATCATCAGCAGCTCCCCACAGACCAGAACATATCAACTCAAAGCGGCACCAGACCCTACCAGAACAACAGATGTAAAACCTGCAGACACATCTTCACTGCTATAATGATCAACACCCCCACCCCCACACACACACTATACAACTTTCACGATCTATGGGTCCCACACATGCCTATCACAATATGTGGTATACTTCATACAGTGCACTAAATGCATCAAGAATAACTATGTGGGTGAAACCAGATAATTAGGGCCCTACCAAATTCATGACCATGAAAAATGCATCACGGACCGTGAAATCTGGTCTCCTCCCGTGAAATCTGGTCTTTTGTGTACTTTTACCCTATACTATACAGATTTCCTGGGACAGACCAGCGGTTCTCAAATTGGGGGTCCTGACCCAAAAGGGAGTTGCAGGGGGGTTGCAAGGTTATTTTAGGGAGGGTTACGGTATTGCTACCTTTACTTCTGCGCTGCCTTCAGAGCTGAGAAGATGGAGAGCGGCAGCTGTTGGCCGGGCACCCAGCTTTGAAGGCAGCACTCCACCAGCAGCAGTGCAGAAGAAGAAAGGTGGCAATACCATACCATGCCATCCTTACTTCTGTGACGCTGCCTTCAGAGCTGGGTGGCTGCAGAATGGCAGCTGCTGACTGAGGGCCCAGCTCTGCAGGCAGCAGTGCAGAAGGGTGGCAATACCATACCATGCCATCCTTACTTCTGCATTGCTGCTGGCGGTGGCTCTGCCTTCCGAGCTGGGATCCCAGCCAGCAGCTGTCACTTTCTAGCTGCCCAGCTCTGAAGGCAGCGCTGTCACCAGCAGCAACAGAGAAGTAAGGGTATCAGTACCACAACCCCCCCTACAATAACCTTGCGACCCCCCCCACCGTGACAACTCCTTTTTGGCTCAGGACCCCTACAATTACAACACTGAAATTTCAGATTTGAATAGCTGAAATCATGAAATTTACTATTTTTAAAATCCTATGTCCATGAAATTGGCCAAAATGGATTGTGAATTTAGTAGGGTCCTACAGATAATCACTATGCTCTCAAATTAACTGACATAGGAAAATGATAAAAGACCAAAACACCTTACCACCTGTGAACACTTTTCACAAAGTGATCATTCTATAGCTGACCGCTCAGACCTCATCTTCAAAGGAAACCTGCATAACACTTTCAAAAGATGGGCCTGGGAGCTTAAATTCGTAACTTGGCTAGACTCTAAAAACCATGGACTGTACAGCAACACTGGATTTATGGTGTATTACAACAATCTGTAAATCACTAACCCCCTCTTTTTGTCCTATGACTGCAGAGGTGTTAATGGGCCACTCTACCTACCAACACTACAAAAAGAAGGATTCTGTGTGGACTTCTCCTGAAGGTCAAAACAACAGACTGGACTTCTACATAGAGTGCTTCCGTCGATGTGCACGAGCTGAAATTGTGGAAAAGCAGCATCACTTGCCAAATAACCTCACCCATGCAGAACACGCCATCCACAGCCTCAGAAAAAACTCTGACATCACAATAAAAAAGGCTGACAAAGGAGGTGCTGTAGTCATCATGAATAGGTTGGAATATGAACAAGAGGCTGCTAGACAACTCTCTGACATCACATTCTACAGGCCATTACCCTCTGACCCCACTGAGGATTACCAAAAGAAACTATAGCATCTTCTTAAGAAACTCCCGAAAGAAGTACAGGAACAAATTTACACTGACACACCCCTAGAGCCCCGACCAGTGGTATTTTACCTGCTACCCAAAATCCATAAATCTGGGAAACCTAGATGCCCCATCATCTCAGGCATTGGCACCCTGACAGCAGGATTATGTGGCTATGTAGACTCTCTCCTCAGGCCCTACGCTACCAGCACTCCCAGCTATCTTCGAGACATCTATCTTCCTGAAAAAACTAAAATCCTTTGGTGATCTTCCAGAAAACACCATCCTAGCCACTATGGATGTAGAAGCCCTCTACACCAACATTCCACACAAAGATGGACTATAAGCCATCAGGAATAGCATTCCCGATACCATCATGGCAAACCTGGTGGCTGAATTTTGTGACTTTGTCCTCACCCACAACTGTTTCAGATTTGGGGACAATTTATACCTTCAAGTCAGTGGGACTGCTATAGGTACCCGCATGGCCCCTCAGTATGCTAACATTTTTATGGCTGACTTAGAACAACACTTCCTCAGCTCTCGTCCCCTTACGCCCCTATTCTATTTGTGCTACATTGATGACATCTTCATCATCTGGACCCATGGGAAGGAGGCCTTTCTAGACACTACAGTGCTATTAAGCGATGGTCACATAAATACCACTCTATACCGGAAACTTACTGACCGCTATACTTACCTACATGCCTTCAGCTTTCATCCAGACCACATCACACAATCCATTGTCTACAGCCAAGCTCTAAGATACAACTGCATTTGCGCCGATCCCTCAAACAGAGAAACACTTACAGAATCTCTATCATGCATTCTTAAAACTGCAATACCCACCTGGTGAAGTGAAGAAACAGATTGACAGAGCCAGACGGGTACCGAGAAGTCACCTACTACAAGACAGACCCAACAAAGAAAGTAACAGAACGCCACTAGCCGTCACCTACAGCCCCCAACTAAAACCTCTCCAGCGCATCATCAAGGATTTACAACCTATCCTGAAGGATGGTCTCTCACTCTCACAGACCTTGGAGACAAGCCAGTCCTCGCCTACAGACAGCCCTCCAACCTGAAGCAAATACTCACCAGCAACTACACACCACACAACAAAAACACCAACCCAGGAACCAAACCCTGCTACAAACGCCAGTGCCAACTCTGTACACATATCTATTCAAGGGACACCATCATAGGACGTAACCACATCAGCCACACCATCCGGGGTGTTAGTCTGTATCAGCAAAAAGAACAAGGAGTATTTGTGGCACCTTAGAGACTAACAAATTTATTTGAGCGTAAGCTTTCATGAGCTAAAACCCACTTCATCGGATGCATGCAGTGGAAGATACAGTAGGAAAATGTATATACACAGAGAACATGAAAAAATGGGTGTTGCCATACCAACTGTAACGAGGGTGATTAATCAGCCACACTTTCAGA